AGGGAAGGATATACAATGTAGAGTAAATACATTCATACCGAAGTGAGGAATGCTGGCAGGAGACACAGCTTTGTAACATTAAAAATGTATAAAGTATTTAGCAAAAGTTACAGAAAACAGACCAAACAAGCAAGTTTATTTTGTTAGAAAATTCTGTTTTCATAGGGCTTGCTGATGTGCTCATGTCCATGAAGGGAATGCCTCTGGTCATCTCCTTCTTTTTTTTTTTTTTTTGGTACTGGAGATTGAACTCGGGACCTTGCGCTTGTGAGGCAGGCAACTAAATCCCCGGCCCTAGGTCATCTCCTTCTTAAGGGAAGGGGAGAGATGCAAATTTGGGGCCCTTGTCATACAGGATGGCTGGTGTCCCTTGGAATGTCTGTCTTTGGGTCTTCCACACTGCTGCCTGAAAGCCACAATGCTGGAGAGACTGTCTGCCAAGAAAGGTGCACGGAGGGAAGCACCCCACTTAAAAGAGGAGCACACAAAGGTCCAGGCACAGGTCTGGTTTTAGGATACAGGACACATGAGGCAGTAGGGTGGGACCAGCCTGGCTCTTCCTTTAGTACCACAGGCTTTCCTTCTCCATCTCCATGTCATACTGTTAATGTGAGGATACCGGGAGTCCTTGGCCTTCACATTCTTCCATTGTAGTTCAATTATAAATTCTCCCCCAAGTTCCTCTATTTTTAAAAAATATGTATCTGCTTTAGATTTTCTAGGAGAAGCTTGATGTGGATGGTTTTCCTGATGTGAACTAAGCTGTACTCTTTGGAGGAGGAGCTCAGGGCCTCACTGTCACTGGGAATGGCTGCTGTTTCCATCAGGGGAACTCTGATCTTCACCATGAGCATCCCTTCCTGGCTCCAGTATGGATCCCTCAGCTTGGTGGCACAAATCCTTCATCTCACCGGCATAGGTTTTCTGTCTTCCACCACTGGCTTTTGGCCCTTCCAGGTGCAGATCCTCAATAGGGACAAGCATGAGACATTGCCATGTGCTCTAGGCTACTGGCTGGACTTGTGGAGGAAATTGCCTTGGACTCTAAGCCTTTAGCTGGACTTGTGTGGGACATTACTGGGATCCAGGCCCTCAGCTGGATTCCTTGGGCCCCTAGTGTGCGGTTGATCTCTTGCACTCCTTTGCATTTGACTTTTTTGTGTAATTATCATAAAATAATCCAATAAACTATGTGTCCTGTATTTAATGTATTCCCTTGCCTAATTCTGCTGACTGCAACACTAAGAATGCCTTCCTTCCTTCAGTCAAGTGATTTCTGTGACATCACGCTCCCCCAGCATCTCTGCTTCTCAGCCACAGATTATGATGTGAGTAGTGTTCCCAGGAATTGTGCAGTGTATGCTCATATGTGACAGTCCACCAGGCAGCTCAGGAACAGTTGAATGACACAGGGGGACTGGGCTGGCTAAGAATTCCATCAAGCTTCAGCCCCAGACCTCAGGAGCCTGAGGCTATTGCTGCCAAAAGATGTAGTAACAGGGCCGGGGATTTAGCTCAGTGGTTTCACCACCTGCTGTGCAAGCACAAGAACCAGAGTTCGACCCACAGATTCTACAACTGCTGAAAGAGACTGTAAACATTTGACTCAGGAGTGGTGGGGCCCCAGACACCTGTGATCCTCAGACCTAAGTGACAATGATCAAATGATTCACTGAAGCTTCTCTTTCTTAGTTCAAGTGAGACACGGAGGCTCCCACCCATCTCATCCTCTTGGGGACAGAGGGTGAGACAGCCCTGTTCTGCCCTAAGACATGCAATTCATAATTCCACCTCCCTTTAATTTCTAATTCTGTACTGTTAACACCCTGCAGTTGGAAGACAAGATTCACAAAAGTCACAGTAACATGCTTTAGTCACTTCTTTAATTGTGCATCTAGTAGGACACCTTCTAAGTCAGCTGCCATTCTGTCAGATGCAACCATCGGACACTGCCATAGCCAATCATTTTTAATTTACCAAAGAGCAATTTTACACAGTTTCTTAGCTGAAACATCCATTTTAGCATCCTGTTAGACCGATGATTAACAAGCACTGACCACCCTTTTTAGATGCCAGACCCCTGTAGGCACCAAAGATGGAGAAATGAACCAGCCAAGATGACTTCCCTGGTGTAATGGGCACAAGAAATGCAAAAGAAAATGTTGGTTTGAGTCGTGGTTCTTTCTCCTTCCAGACTTCTGAAAGCACCTGCACCTTTATCTGCTAAAGGCTGGGGGATCCAGAAGGCAACACCCCTCCAAAGGGGTTCCTGGAGTATGAGTGAGAGCTGCTGGATCTCAGCCCCTTGCTGCTGCTTCTCTTTCAGCCCTGAAGGGCAATTAAAGCCAGATTGCCTCAGACCTGAACTGATGATCACAGCCATCACCAGCCACGACTGGCTGCTCAACCCTGGAAATGTAGCTAGCCTGAATTATAACATGCTGTAAATGGAAAGCACATACCAGATTCAAAGACTTTGTGTGAGAAAAAGAATAGTAAATAACTCATTAATAATTTTAAAAATATTGATTACATACTGCCATATTATTTTGGCTGTAGTACTGGATTAAATAAAATATATTATTAAAATTGTTGGCCAGATTGGTGGTGCATGCCTGTAATCCCAGCACTCAGGAGGCTGAGGCAGGAGGATTGCCATGAGTTTGAGGCCAGCCTGGGCTATGTAGTGAGTTTAAGGCTAGCCTGAACTACATAGCAAGACTCTGTCTCAAAAAACAAAAAAAATTGTTTTTTAAATAATAATAATAATAATAATAATATTTTGAGGTGCTGGGGACCCAGGGCCTCCTACGTGATAAGGAGGCACTCTGCCACCGAGCTACATACCCACCACGTTTTTTGTTTTAGTTTTTTTTGGTACCAGGGATTGAACTCGGGACCTTGTGCTTGCAAGGCAGGCACTGGTACCACTGAGCTAAATCCCCGGCCCTCCACTTTTCTTTTTTATTTTGAGACAATATCACTAAGTTGCATAAGATGGTGACAAACTTGTGATTCTCTTGCCTCAACCTCCCCAGTGGCTGGCATTACAGGTTCGCGCCACATTTGGCCAATCCCACATATTTCTAGTTTATTTGAAGCTTTGTTTTTATTTTGTTTTGGGTTTTTTGTTCGTTTGTTTTTGGTACCTTTGAGCTTGCAAGGCAGGCGCAGCACCACTGAGCTAAATTCCCAGTCCACTGAAGTTTTGCAAAGCATTCATTCCCTGCTTGCCAATCTGGGCTCATTTTCTCACTCTCATGTTCCAGTCTTTGGCCAAGACTCTTACATGGGGGTCTGATGTGTGGCCAACACTGCACCGGTATTGCGACACTGTACTGAATCAGACAGATGTCCACTGGACACTTGCAGAAAGAAGGGCAAGCTAAACACATTCCATGAGCTGATCCTAGCACCACCTCTTACTGTGGAAAACCAATCATTCCTACATATTAACCACAAATCAGTGACCAAGAAATATCTTCAGGACAAATGTAAAGCCAAGCAAATGAATTATGATTTTTTCCAAAATTCCAGACGGCTTTTGAAAATTATCCCAAACCCTTCAGGCCGACGTTGGCCTCCTCTCCACCAGAGGGAGATGCAGGGAAGACGCGCATTTCGCTAGGCGGTGGTACTGATCTAGGCCGCAACCTGTCCATTCAGGTGCACTTCCGCCGGCGCCGACCACGTGGAGGCGATTTCCTGTCTCGTGGCAGCATTTCCTCACTGTCAGGCGCAGCTTCCCAAGATCAATCGTCTCGCGTCGTCCGCTGCTGCCTGTTTTGTCTCGTCCGCCGCCCAGCGCTACGGCTCCAAGGTGAGTCCACTGCAGGGCACTGGCCCATTAGGAAGAACCGAGGCCCGTTTCAGGAGCCACCTGTTCCCCAAGGACCTAGGTCTCCGGAGACTCGTATGTTCTTGGAAGAGGCAGCCGGTGGGCAGCTGCCAGGGCCGCCCCGGGAAGGACGCCCCTTGCGGTCGGCGACCCAGGGGGCGCCCACCGCCGTGGTCTTTTATACCCGTGTTTCGGCCTCCTACTCCTGGCATTCGAAGCCCGGAATACCTTGTGGTTCGTTTACACGGGGTCAGTGTTGTGCCACGTCCTAGAACCAGCCGACTCATTTCTCTCCACGATCTTTCAAGGCCAGGCCTGAAAACCTCCCTTTTGCATGCGGTTTGGCCGAATTTTCGGTTGAGGACGCTTCCAGGGGCCTAGGGGACAGCATCGGGACTACCGTCCCCTTGTTGCACTGAAGCTCTTTCCTGTCTCCTGCTTAGGCCTTGCTGCTGCGCGGCCACATGGAAATGGATGGAAATTCCCCCGTGGTCGGCGTCGCTGGTTCTGCAATAGTTAGCGCTCCCTCCCTCCGCGCTGCCAGTCCGGAGACCAGATGTCCCGGTAAGTGCTGCTTCGCTGAGCACCTGGAAGTATGGGGCCTTCTGAATCGACTTTCAGCCTACACCCACAGAGCCATGGTGGTGGAACACAAATAGGTTCTGAGATCTGTGTGGCAAAGCCCCTGTGCAGACTGAAGCCTGGTGGAGCACATGGGGGTCTGGGTTGGGAAACCATTGAAACCCGAGGTCAAATCCTAGTTGAGTTCCCTCATGTTCCTGAGCTTTACTTTCTGTGAAGTAGGGAAGCTGCAAAGATCTGTGAGAGTAGTGAGCTTGGCTGCTTTCCTTTTGAATCCTGGTGTCTGGCTACATGTAGATAGTGTCTGTCTCCGTCTCTGTCTCTGTTTCAGTCTCTCTCTGGTTTTGTTAAAGACAAGGTCTCACTATGTAGCTCAGGCTGGCCTTGAACTCTTGGTAGTCCTCTTGTCTCAGCCTCCTGAGTGCTGGGATTACAGGTGTGCACCACCATGCCTGGCAGACATTCAGTATTTGTGGGGTGTACACCTTAAGCATTTTGACCAGAAATTTATGTTCTGATGGGCTTTTTATGGTAGATGGGATATTTTTGTTTTGATTTGTGGAATTGGGCATTGGATATTGGGGCCTTTGCATTGAGCTACATCCCCAGCTTTTTTTGTTTGTTTATTGTGTTTTATTTTGAGACAGGATCTTGCTAAGTGCTTAAATTGCCCAGACTATGTTCAAACTTTCAATTTTTCTGTCTTAGTCTCCCAAAGTACTGGGGTTACAGGCGTGTGCTGCCATACCCAGCTGGCATGGAATCTTAAATGTGATGATGGCTCTCAGGGTCTTGGGCTTGGTGGGGCAGCTTCCTCTCTCTGGACTGTTGGTGAGAGTTACCATGCTTACAAATGAGCTTCCTGGTTCACCCGGCCTTTTTTGCCCCTGTATTCGAAAGTGATCTTGGGCTGCCTGTGCCCTGGTCATTGAGTGCAGGGAAAGGAACTGCTGAAAGCCTTTCCCCGTGTTTGGAGGGCTCACTCCTGTCCCCTCCAAACTCTGGAGCTTTCTTACACCTTGACACCTTTTAGATGCCCTTGGCACCTGATGTCTGGCGTACCATATGCTCTGTGCAGCTCAGTGCTGTTGTCTAAAACTTTAGCAGAGGAAAATGGTAGGTGGGCAGCAAAGCCACAGCAGGAGTCACCTTTTTATTTTTTTATTTCTGGTTTTGTTTTGTTTTGTGGCGAGACAGACAGCAGAACCACTGAGCTAATCCTCGGCCTAAGGAGTCACCTTTTCAGCCTCACCTGTACTGTGATCTTTTTTCTTTTTGGTACCAGGAATCAAATTCAGGACCTTGGCGCTTGCCAGACAGGTGCAGTGCCACTGAACTACATCCCTCGCCCTCTCTACTGTGATCTGGAGGGGAGTGTCTGAGTCCTAACTTTTGATTTACCTCATCCTTTGCAGATTCTCAATGTTTGACACTTATGGAACAAATGAAAAACGAGATGGAAAGAAGAGAAGCCCACTGCTGTAAGGTAATAGGCCTCAGATGTTTTGGCACATCAGGGACATACTTTTTTTTCTTTTTTTTGTTTCAAGGGACATACTTTTGAGCAAGGCAGGTCCCCTGGCCCACCAGGGTAGATGTCCTCATAGACTGTCATTTTAGTGCCAGGAACAAAACAAGTAGAGCTGGGCATGGGTGACATAGTCAAGTGAGCCATGTAATCCACCCTGGTCCCTAGATGACAAAAGTGGGCCAGTTTCGCAGTGCTTCATGTCAGACTACCATGTGTTGTGTCACACACTCAAGCCGTCCCAAGTTCATTCAGTGTACAGATTCAGGGCCACTACAGACTAATCCACCTGTATATAAGATGAAACTGAAGATGTCCCTGCATAGCCTTCTCTTTAGATAAGCTCTTTTCATATAACTGAGACAGTAGACCAGTGTTTATGTAATAATGCTAATTTCTGTGAAGCATTTACCACCTGCCAGCTTCTCCATGTACTGCTGTCCAGGACAGGTTTGACCAGTGACTTGTGGGGTGGCTCACCCGGCCTTGTTTATAGCAGAGGTGACAGCTCAGTGCAGAGAGGGCAAGGAGGTGTCTCCATCCTGCCAGAAAGCAGCTGGACCATGTTAATCCAAAGAGAAGTATGTCCTCTGGAGATCTTCCACATCTGGGAAGCAGATGGAGATGACATGAAGCCAGCTTCATCTGGTTCTTAGTTTGAGATGCATCTGGCTCTTGCTGTGCCCATTTGGGTTCCAGGGGTTTACAGGGCTCTGTCCTTTCCTTTGGTATAAGGGTGGCAGAATGTCTGAATGAAATGCAGGAAGGGTTTTGGCAATGTACTCACCCATGCCCGTGCCTAAGTACCTGAGGACCTACCCACATCCTTGGTTTTCTCATCAGGAAAGCAGGAGTGAAGAGGTGATTTTTCTTAGAATTATGTTGTTCCTGCCACCTTTCTTACTTGAAGGATCTTCCCTTTTCCTCTTGGCTGGGGCAGATTAAATTTACCCACGACAAAATGGCAGCTTCTAGGTCTTGTGCTCTGTCCTGCTGCTGTCCCGGCTCAGGCCATTTTCCAGGTGTCTAACTGGCCAAGCCTAGTGTCCATTTCTACCCCTTGTTCAGAGTAATTGTAGGTTGCCTGTATACTGGTCTTTGGTAATACAGGAAAAGCCATGAAGTTTCCCCAAGTGTGGAGCACGCATTGTTGTCTCTTTCAGAGGGATTGGCAGTGACCCCAGCCTGTGCAAGGCAAGCTGTCAGTGCATTCTCCGTCCACAACTGATGAATGTCATGGTTTCCTGGACATGCTATAAACAGTGCCACATGCGCTGATCCCATGCTGGCTTCTTATCCCCTGTAGGAGTGTCACATGTCTGCTGATGAGTGTATGAGAGGTGTCCTCAGGGAGAACACGGATGGTGATGTCTCAGGTAAGTGGTGGTGTGCTTTGTTCTCTAGAACTCAGGTTTATTGGGGGGGGGGGTCAGTGGAGTTTAGGTGCTACGGTGTGGGGAGTGAGAGCTTAGATGAGGACTGCTTCCATTTGCTCCTAGTTGTCCCCTTGGCCAAAGGACAGTTGGGCCCTCTTTATTCGTGGGACTGCTACAGAGAAGGTGCTTCCAGAGCCAGGTTTGGGCTCCGAGCATCCCTGATGAAGGCCCTGTGTTAAGAGGAAAACAGTGTATTGGAATGGACAGAGGGATAGCTAGAGACTTAACTCTAGGTTCTTACCCAGCGAGCACCCTGCTGGTCTTCTGTGAGCCTCAGTGGATGATATTCAATACTCAAACCCAGTCTCTTAGAGCTCAAGGATGCTGAGTAGTTCTGCCAGTGTTTGCCCTCCTTTCAGTTCTTGGCAGGCAATGAACGCTAACTGATCTCTGAGTCACGAAGCAGCTGCTATTCTCTCTACTGTGAATCTAGTCATTGCCCTGTGTGCTGGTCTTCCCGTTTCAGCCATTTCCTGGGATGCTGGGCCATGGCCTCTCTGTTCAGCTAACCCTCTTTCCTTTTCTACCCTGTATTCGAAAGTGATCATGGGCTGACTGTGCCCTGGTCATTGATAGTGCAGGAAGAGGAACTGCTGAAAGCCTTTCCCCGTGTTTGGAAGGTCTACGCCTGTCCTTGCCAGACCCTGGAGCTTTCCCACACCTCCTTCCTACCTTTTAGATGCCTCCTGGCTCCTAACATCCTCTAGTTTAGTAAATTGCTCTTTTCTCTGGCCTGGGGCAGGTTTCTGTGACATCTTGAGAGAAGGGAGTGGAAGCCTGGACCTAAACAAGGTAGTTGGGCTGGGCTGGTGTGGAACCTGGACAGCAGCCTCCTCCTTCCTCCAGGGAGCTTTCTCCATCTCCATCCACCTCCCACCTTGGCACTAATCAGACTGCATGGAAATTATTGCTTTGCTTGTCTCCTAGCTTGGTCTCTGATGATCATGAGGACAGCATGTTCCTTCTGTGTCTTCATTTGCTTTGTTGGTCACAAGATCAGGGCTCTATCAGGATAGGACAAAGAAAAAATAAAGGAGATTCCCTTTGCTGTAGGGAGCTGGGGTTCATTGCCTTCTGGAGTGTTGGGTTGGGGGGTGCTGAGTAAGCAGTCCGTGAAGAGAGGTTCAGGGCAGAAGCACATTGGTACTTTCTCTCCTTGAAGAATTCTTCAGCAAGTCGCTTTTCCTTGCTGAAGGCTAGGGAAGGCTTTTCCAACTCCAACCTGTGAGTATTGTGGCAAGGACCAGGGATGGAACAGGATATAATTGAGGGGTTTATGGGAGGGGTTTATGGCCGTAGTTCTTACACAGCCCTCCTGCTGCTCTGTGACCTTCTGCAGGTCTGTGCTGGATGCTGCCAGAGAAGTAGCACATTCAAGAATGTCATGGCCCCAACATTCCTTTGATTGTAACATTTAGTAACAGTTGGCACAACAGATAAAACAGACATGTCCCACCTGTCTTAGGAGATCTCCAGTCCTTTCCTAGAGGTAAGCTGCTTTTCTCATTCCTAAAAAAATACAACTTTAGGTGATGGTAATACAGTTAAGTCAATGCTTGTGCACCACTGTGTACGGAGGCTTGGTGATAAAGTGTCTCACAAGAGAATCAGACTGGGCTCTGAGGCCAGATCTCTGGTCCATTCTGTAGAGTTACGGCTTTTTGTACCCTGTAATGTCAGGTTCTTTTTCCCTGGTGTGTTGCGTAGTGATGAAGGGAGGTTATGAGGATGAGAAGAAGGGGGATGCATGGATCCCCAGATCCAGATTTCCCTTTCCTGGGACACCTACTTCACATCTGGCGCCGGGTTCAGGCCAGCAAACGCTGATAGTGAGATGAATGAAGATGGGAGAGACTTATCTTTGAAGAGGGTCGGGGAACCTCACCAAAATGAAGCCCCGATTGACTCAAACTCTCACATTTACTGAGGAAGAACAAAGGCAATGTGTCCTGCTGAGCACAGAGGTTTGTCTCAGGTTAGCAAGGCATGATGACAGTTTGGCTGAATTATTAACTTTTCTGTTTTTGGTACTGGGGATCGAACTTGGGACCTTGTGCTTTTGAGGCAGGTGGTGGAACCACTGAGCTGAATCCCCGGCCCTGAATGATAAACTTTTATCTGATTATCCCCTAAGGAGCTTCCTTGTTTTCCCTATAAAGCACATTTCTGCTCAGGGTGGCAAAACATCCCATCCTCAGGATGTTCCAGCTCCTCAGAGTAAGCAGACTTTCCCTCCCCTGAGGAGACATTGTCCTGTTGGGTATCACAAAAACTCTACATCTGGGGCTGGGGATTTAGCTCAGTAGTGCTGTTGCCTGCCTTGCAAGTGAAAGGTCCTGAGTTTGATCCCCAGTACAGGAAGAAAAAAAAAAAACTCTACAGGCTGGCCCTCACTCTTTTTTTTCTTTGAGACATGGTCTCACTGTGTAGTTTAAGCTGGCCTTGAGCTTACTGTGTAGCCCAGGCTGGCCTCGAACTTGCAGTGATCCTCCTGCCTCAGCCTCCTGGGTGCCAGCACAACTGGCACCACATGCCTTTTGGGGCTATGAAGGACATGACATCTCCAGAGACCTGCTGGTAGAGAATTTTGGGCTTTTTTCTGTGTTGCAGGCAGCAGCAAGCTGTAACAGGAAGTGGGTGGATTTAGGCTTCAGAGACATCCATACTGTAGAGAACAGGGAAAAGGAACGTTACTAGAACCTCTGCAGTAAGTCCTAGTCTCCTGCGAGCCACGGCAGGACAAGGTGAATTAACTTTATACAGGAAAGGTAGAAAAAGTGAGACTTGCAGAAGCTGAGCTTCGGGCCTGATCAGTGCTGCTCTGGGCAGCAAAGACAAAAGACCCCAAGCATGCAGCACCTTTTATTCAGTACCAGGAGAAACAAATATAACAAATGACTTGCAGAGAGTTCAGTACCTCACATTGGGATAAACAAGGTATAACAAAAGACGGGGTTGGAAATCCAAGAACAATGAGGAACTGAGTAGATGAAGATTTTGTTCCTCCCAGGATGTCTTCAGCTGGTATAATCTTGTCCTGGAGAATCACAGCATCACTGGATCAATGAGGTCTCAGTTGTGACCAGAGGCCAAAATGGAATTATGTCTCAATGCTATAGCTGGGCTGTAGGCAGGAGAACTAGGCTAACCAAATGATTTTTCCCTAAAATTATGTAGCATTGCTCCCAACACCATACCTGCCTCTTAATCCTTCCTCGGCCACTATCTGGCTCTGTGATCATCATTGTTCTAGTTGTACCCAGTCGTCAGGACAGACAGCCCCATAAGGGAAAAAAGAGTGAAGGTCCAGCCTGGAGAAGAGAGTGTGCAGACTTCCTGAGGCTCTCCCTCCCTCACAGTTACATGGAACCCATCTTTCCCTTAACAGTGAATAGAAACACGTCCACAAGGTGTGCCAGGGGAGCCCATTGGAGACTTAGTACCCAAGGCTTTTATTGAGGGCTGGTCATGCAGACTCCTTTTGCCTTGGAGGTAATACAAGTCCAGACTCAGGAGGAAGCCAGGAATTCAGCCCAAAGCACATTGTTTGCACAGAGTCTGCGCCCAGGGACCTGCCGTGACCAGTTAGCTGCTGACTAAGAATGTGCTGAGAGCCAGGTTTCAGACCCCAGTCAAGGGCCAGTTTCCTGATGGAGAAAACAAAAAAGATGATTTTTATAGATGTGACCGTGTGATCCTGATCTCTAGCCCCCAAATTTTTCTCATTTTTGTCAGAAGTGTCTTCTTTGATTGCCACATGGCAGTTGCAATGTGCTCTTCCCTTTGGACCAGGCATCTGGCACCAGGCTCCCATCCATCTTGGCTCTCTTCCCTCTGCCCTGCATTCGAAAGTGATTGTGGACTGGCTATGCCCTGGTCATTGATAGTGCAAGGAGAGAAACGTTGAAAGATGTTTTCCCTGAGTTTAGAGGGTTCACCTGTCCCTTCTGAACCCTGGAGCTTTCCCACACTCCTTCTGCCATCTTTGTAGGAAGACAGTGCTTCTTGGGCTGCCACAGGAGTCAGCAGCAGGGCAGCACTGTGCCAGGGTCTTAGCTTGTCTTGTTTCCAGAAAGCTGGGTGTCTATATATTGAGATGTTGCCCACCGGAGTTTAATACTGTGAGGGACGGGTCAAGATTACAGAGCCTCAGTCCTGCTCATGGAAAGACTGTGTTTCAGGAATCATAGTGAATGCATGTTACAGCACAGTTAGGAGTAAAGTGCAACATTGGTATACACAGTGATTTCCAACGTCTTTCCAAAGAGCAGCTTCCTGAAGATGGTGTTTTGGGGCACGTTTCTAAAGCACTCCAGTAGGAAGGTACATTAGAGCTCAAGACTTATTTATCCTACATGTCTGCTATATTGTATCCTTACATACATCTCCCCCTTTTTTCAGTCTGTTCCACTTATAAGGGACAGCATGCAGTAGTATTTCATTATCTTATTTCACTTAGCATGATGTCCTCTAGGTCCATCCGTATGGTAAATGGCAGGATCTCCTTTTTCAAGGCTGAACAATTTGTGTGTGTATGTGTGTCATTTAGATATAAGTTACAGAGAACATTTTTTCTGTTCATCTGTCGATGGTCCTTGGAGTGGGATATGACAACTAATGCTGCAGTGAATGTGCGAGTGCCTGTGTCTTTGAAGCAGTGGTGCACTCCTTTGGGTATATACCAAGAGGAATTTCTGGGTTCCAGCATCATACACTGATGAGCAACAGCTGGGTCACAGTTGGTACACGATAATGTGGATATCATTCCCATCACAGAATGTGTGTTGACCCTTCCTCAGTTAGGTTTCCTAGTTCTCGGGGTAGCAGTGTGGCTGTAGAGTACACTTGGTACAGCCAGCACTTGTGGGATGCTTGTGATGTGCCAGCCACCACGCCAGATGCTCTGTTTCTGTTGAAGGTGGCTGGGCTGTGTGCTGAGACTATGCGGATGTGGTGTCTATAAAGGCTACAGGTAAGATTTTTGGACTATTTTGGAATATTGTTTTGCTTTACGTTCTGTAATGCCGTGTCCATGTGCCCTGGGGCTTGGATGGTGGCATATGAGGAAGTGGGGTGAGAGTGGCATCCTGTGAGTTCCACTTGTATTGGCAGTGGGCCGGGTAGCCTCTCATCTCTCCAGCATCTCTGCCAGGGAGGGCCATCCAGAAACCTGCTCTCCTCTGCCTCTGGGGCTCTGATGTGTCAGTAATGTGCTGTGATGAGAAGCGTGTAGATTCAGGCACCAGTGACTCTGATTCCCTGTGTGAACCCACCTAGCTGTGTGACCTGCTCTCAGCCTCTGCTTTGTCTGACAGGCTAAGCTGGGATAACAGTGCTTTGATTTGTTTTTTTTTCTGTGTTATGACCACATGCTCTTGACCTTTTCCAACTAAAAAACATACCCAGTATTTTTATGCTGGAAGTGTCTTTTGACTCCCTGTGGTCTGCATGACACAGTGGCAGGAACTTGGATGCTGGGCTCAGCTAAGCTGTTGTCCCCGACTCAGGCCATTCTCCAGCCCCCTGGCACAGCCTCCCTTTCTTCCTGGCTTTTCTGCCCTTTTCAGCTCCTGTATCCAAAAGTGATCTTGGGCTGCCTGTGCCTCGATCATTGGTAGTTCAGGGAGAGGAACATTGAAAGACATTTCCCTCGTGTTCGGAGGGGCCACCTCATCACTTCTGAACCCTGGAGCTTTCCTACACTCTAGTCTTCCTTCTACCATCCCTTCAGACCTTGGGCCTTCACTGTCTGCGACTGGACCAGCTTCCTGACTTGATGCTTACTTTGTCTTTTCAAATGAAGAATCTTTTTGCCAGATACCAATCTATGCATTTCCATTTGGACTCCATACTACAATAAATTCTGGCAGTGCTGTAGGACACACATGAGAGTTGTAAATTGTAGGTTCTGGCTCATTTCTTTGCTCCTTTATTGTGTCGTCCTCTCCCCCCAATCTGGGGATTGAACCCAGGACCTTGTTATACACACTGGCCAACTGCTCTACCACTGAGAAACACCCTTAGTCCTCTTTCTTTAGTTGTGTTTTTTTTTTGGTACGGGGGATCGAACTCGGGTCCTTGTGCTTGTGCAGCAGGCGGCGAAACCACTGAGCTAAATCCCCGGCCCTCTTCCCTTTATTTTTTTGAGACAGATTTACTTTCTGGTTCAGACTGGTCTTAAATTCAAGGCAATCCTCCTACCTCACCCTCCCCAGTGTTGGAATTATAGGTGTGCGTCACCATACTCTGGCTTGCCAGCCTCCCCCCTTAATTTTGAGAGAAAGTCTTGCTAATTTGAGAAGGCTGGCCTTGAGCTGTGATTACAGGCAGTCCTTTACCCTTTCTTGGAAAAAAAAAAGTACACTGCTTCTCCAGGTGGCACCAGAAGTGTCAGACAAAGAGTAGCAAAGACAGGCTGATGTCAGAGCAAAGAGGAGGGTTCTCTCGATTCAGAGTCATGTTAAAGTGCTCATTTGTTTTTTTTCTTTTTTTCTTTTTTCCCCAGTACCAGGGATCAAACTTGGGTCCTCATGCTTTCTAGGCAGGCGCCGGAGCCACTGAGCTAAATCCCCTGCCCAAAGTGTTCATTTCTTATAATCCATTGGAAGTTTGAGGACTTGTTAGTCATTGGATGTAGGACGAGAACATCGACTGATTAACTCTTTTTTTAAATTAATTTTATTGGTACATTTTAGGTATACAATATAATGACATTCATCATTGGAAATTTGCACCTTTACGTAATCTCTCTTGGTTCTTATTTTTTCCCCATTCCCCTGCCATCCCTTCAACCCCTCCACACTCGCTATTTACAGAGACTTTATTTCCATTTTTTTTCATTTTCTCATATTAATTCCATTCCCTTTCCTTTTCTGTACTCTTCCCACTTCCTCTTCCCCTTTCCCCTTTTCCTATTTCACATCTGATTAACTCTTTGTAGCCCTCTTTCCTGGATTTTTATCTGCTTTTGTGAGTTGTCTTTTGAAACAAGTGACCTCAGAGAAGAAATTCTCAGGGCTTCAAATCTTTGAAATCTATATTTGTAGACTCGACTTCCTGTGCTGGTCTAGGTTGCTTTTGGGCCTAAGGAGCAATCTGTTACTCAGTGGTCACTTAGATGCGAAGTTTGCCCTTGGCTCATATGCTGCCTGCCTTAGTCTGTGCTCCATGTGGGTCTTGCAAGGCGGAGACCCTGTGTCTTCACTTTGTGAGTGCAAAGCTGTAACCTGGTGTCCCCGGTAACGGGTAGGGTGAGGTTGGAGACGAGGTCAGGGTATCCAATCCCTCTGGTGCTCACCATTGGTTTAAGGGTGCCTCTGCAATTTTCAAATACTTTTCTATATTCAGGTCTTACATTTGAGGTTAGGATCCCGTTTCACCTTGTTTTTATTCCCATGGCATAATGATGTGGAGATAGTAATTCCTGGTACTTGGTAGCCATCTAGTGAACTTTTTCCTGGCCTTCAAGCCTGCCTTCCTGCCCCTTTTGTGCTCTTGGTCCTGGGGCTTTGAAGTTCAGCCAGGTATGAGGAGTTAGTGGACAGCATTGACTGTTTTAGAAAGATGGCTTCTAAGCCAGGCATGATGGTGCACACCTGCAGTCCCAGCATTTTGGAGGCTGAGGCAGGAGGATTGCTGCAAATTCAAGGCCTGCCTGGGGTACATAGTGGGTTCATGGCCAGCCTGAACTACAGAGAGAACTTGCTTCAAAATAGATAGGTAGGTAGACAGACAGCTAGCTTCTTTTCTCTCCACAGTGACCTGGAGATTGAAAACTCTAAGTGTAGAGTCCTGTGGGTTGAATGGGGTTCACTTGCTGTATGATGACCTCAAGCATTGATAACTTGTGTATTTATCTTTCAAGTGGAATTTGTGATCACTGGCATTTGTGATCTTCAAAGAGCTGGCTACCTAACAGGTCCCCCTGGAAGTTTGGCTTCCACTTGCCTTTCTGGGTTGGGTCAAATTGAATGTGTCCTTGTGAAATAGGAGACAGCTGTGAGGGCCTTGCAGTAGGCTGGGCAGGCAAGTAATGACTGTGTGGTGGAAGAGCTAGGAATGGTGGTCTGTTTGTTCCTTTTATCAAGATGCTGTGGCTTCTGTGATCCCAGCTCCTTGGGAGGCTAAATGGGAGGATCCCAAGTTTGAGGTCAGCATGGGCAGCTTAGCAAGATCCTGTTTGAAAATAAAAGGGCTTAGGACAAAGCTCGGTGATAGAACCCTTGCATGAGGCCTTGGATTCAACCCCTACTACTGCAGAAACCAAAATAAAGTTGCCATGGAACTCAGTATTACAGCCCGATGGTGAGCTCTTGCTCTTATTGTGAACACCTTGAAAGAAAACCATTTATTATAAAAAAAACTTTTATTTTTCTATTCTTAGGATTTCTAACGTGGTGTGCATAAACTAGGAGCCGTCTATTAGCAACTTCTGTGTGATGTTGGCTTGGGCAGAAGGTGGTGCTGGAGCCTCAGTACTTGTGTGCTTCCTCACCCTCCTAGGTCTCATCCTTCGATCCAGAGACTGTCAAGCAAGTCCCAGGCCTCGGGGTCAATGCCCTGGGGATAGCTTGGGATCTGGGTGTGCTGGTATTTTTCTCAATGATGATAAGTTAGTGCCAAGGACCTGGAACCTACAGCGAGGGGCTAAGTCATTTTGTGTTTATGCAGATGGAGCTCTAAACCATTGTCCTCACCTTCCTTTCTCTTGGTGTTGTTCAGGGACTCTGGGGCAGAGAATGGAGAGCGAGGTCACCACCTGAAGTGTAACTGGAGTCGCGGCTGTCCCTGCAGCCTGCTCAGAGCATCGGGGAACAGCTCTTCACTCTGCGCAAGAATTGGGATCCAGACATGGGGACTCCAACCTGTTCTTCCAACCGGGCCCCTCCTAACAGCACATTGAGCTGTAGGACTCATCAGTGGGTGAATCCACAGAGGAGTACAGTGCCCCATGACACAGTTGCCTTCTAGATGCATGAGAATTCTGGGGGGCATTTTAGGTCTAAACCATAACAGAGTATATTCTTTTCTCAAGCATATAAAAAGCATTTAGAAATACAGTGTTTTTTATATTCCAAATTATTAAAAAACAAAGTCTCACATACCAAAGAATTAGATTTACAGACTTTAATTGGTACTATAATATAATTAAGGATAAGTTTAAAAGTTATATTTGGATAATTTTAAGCATATTAAAATAACTTCAAAGTAGAATCCATTAAGGGAATTAGAAACTATTTATAGCTGAGTATGTATCAAAATTGTGCAATGTAGCTGAAGTAATTTTTAGAGATTTATTATTTACATGTTATATAAAAATATTTAAATGTAATAAGTAATAAATGAGAAAAAAATTGCTTCAAGAAAATGGAAATAATGGAAAGGCCTTTGATAAAGTGGAGAAGCCTCTGATAAGACTGATAAATAACAATTTTAGGAGTGAAGGAGAATAGGATGGATAAGGCTGGAATTAAAAATGAATAATGTGGCTTACTTGGTGCCTTTAAAACTTTGAACTTTTATAGAGCAAACATTTTTTAGGAAAAATTAAAATTGCCCCAAAGAGAATGAAAAAAATCTAATAAAACTCCAAGTAAAGACCCTAGAGATTGCATGCCTATAGTCCTAGCACTCTGGAGGCTGAGGCAGGAGGATCACCAGCCTGAACTACATAGTAAAACCCTGTCTCAAAAAACAAAAAAGACTGGGCCAAGTTCAACAGCCAGATTTATTTACTTACTATAACAAAACTTTCATCATTAAAGCTGTGACTGATAAGAGAAATCTTTGATTCATCCTGGAATAGACATAATGACCAAAATATTTACTTCGCATTGTTGGGGGACGGTTGCTTAGTCCATTAGCAAGAATATGAAAAGCGCTTGGCCTTGGCATCAGACTCTGCCATCTCCCCGCCCCCAGTACTAGGGATCAAACTCAGGACCTTGTGTTTGTGAGGCAGGCGCGGTGCCACTGAGCTAAATCACCCATCCCAGACTCTGCCATCTTTATAGTTTCGTCACAGTCTGGTTGTGTTCAGATGCGATGTGTAGGAGTCAGACTTTTGGTCAGACCTTTCTCATTTTGCCACCCTGTTGGTTTCAGATTGCAGGTATTTTAGCTATTAAGGCTGTAAGGTGGTAGTGCACTGGTAGGCTGTGTTAATCTGTGTTAATGTTGATTGGGTGGAAGAGGAGTAAGAATTACTATAAGGATGTGGTTAGTCACCATGGAGGAAGAAAAGCGAACAGAAGACCCGGGCCAGCTCATACCCTGGATTTGCGCTAAGAGTGCTGAGGTTGCCACTGGCAGGTAAGGGCTTGAGACCTAGCAAAAGGATCACGTACAGTTGGGCTGTCCTCACTTTTTGCTGAGACATTTATAAAGTGCAAAAATACTAAATTTTTCATATTAGTATAGTTTTCCCATAATTGATTCAGGAATATGGAACTTAATGTCAGTTTTGTGGGGTTTTTTAAATCCTAAATTTGATGAATAGTTTTGAGGCCAAAGCAAGACAATCAGCTGAAATCAAAGTTTGTTGAACATGTGCACCCCATCCTGAGCCTGGCTGCTCCAGTGTGCTACACACTCAGGAGGTGGAAGAAGGAGGCTTTGAGCCTGTGTCTGTCTTGACTGACATTGAGTGACCTGTACAGGTAAATTCTTTAGGTGTCATGTTGAGCAGGAGCTTTGCCTGGCCAATGTTCATGATTTTATCCTTCATTGAAGTTTAGTGTAGATTAGTGCAGAGTCAGGTGAGCTCCCTAGTTTAGACTGAGGACAACTATAAAGAAGAAGGACGAAGTTTGGTAAAGTGCTGTGGCCAGGTGTCCAGATGTCACAGGTTCCTTGGTGACTAATGTCCATGGGGCAGAGAGCTTATGGGAGAAGAGGCTGCAGCCTTGGTTCTCCACAAGGTCTTGCTCCATCCTCAGCCTAATTGATATTGGCTCCTAAGAGCAAGAAGTTCTAGAGAGAAGGCAAAAAGGATAATCAAGGAAAGAAAAGTAATTTGCTGAGCCATACAGGTGCTACAGCTTCCCACATGAATCAAAAGCCAGGTCAGTGTAGGCTCCAAGCTTTAGGCCCCAGAGGCCTTTACATATAGTGTCCCTCTCAGCTTCCTGTCCCCAGGAATTTATGCTTCCCAAGCCACTGATTTCTGGAAGACATCCATAAATGTTAGTTTCCTCCAAAAATTTGTTCCCTCAGGAGAGAAAGGCAAAGCTGAGTGCTGCCTGAGCTGCTTAGTCCTAGAATGCAGTCCAGGGTTTCGTTGCAGTGGGAACATCCTGTGAAGTGAAGACACTGGCAATGAGCACTGGTGGATTTACATCTCCTGGCAGAAGGAACACCAGGAGCAAAGATTATGTGGCAGGGTGGAGCATGGAGTATTAGAAGAACTGATGGGGCCCAGAGTGGCTGAGTTTGAGCATCTCTTGTTTCATTAAAGCAGATGGAACATAGGAAGCATCTGCTTCTCCCACCTCTTCCCACCTTGTGCTGCTACCAGATTCCCCCCCCCCCCGATCCTCCATTGCCAGAGAACAGACCCCCCCCACCTCAAAAGGTGCCCTGTAACTGTAGGATGGAGTTGCTAGATGGGAAGAATTCCCCCAGGGTTGCCCAGGAGGGATGCTCCGGGGTAAACTAGTGTCATGGTGTCTGAGGGCACCCAGGGAAGTTGAGGGGGCACTCCAAACCTGGCAGAGTCCTGAGATAGGGCTCCAGGTAGGAAGTGGTGGACTTCCTGACCATTTCGCAGATCTGCCAGAGGGGAAGAGAAAGCTGGTAAGTCCTCCCTCCACTGCCCTCCTCAGCAATGCTCCAGCTCCCCCAGCTCCACCTCCAGGAATCATGGGCTGCAATCCAGCCCTGGAAGTACCTCTGAGTGTGTGCTGGGAAGGGTCAGGAAACAGGTTGAAAAGGAAGAAGAGGCCACTCCCCATCAATACGTAGCACAGTAGGGCCCAGATTAAATCCTACCACTCATTCCCTGACCCTTTTGGCTCCTCTTGCTCAGATCCTGAAATCTCTCCAGGACCTGGCACTGGGAATAAGGGATCCATCATGGAGCATGGCATCTGATCTGCAGGCAGTGCTGACCAGGTCATTAGAGGGCCCATAACAAAGCTAGAAGAGGGCCCAGCCTCAGAATCCCAGTCCTCCTTGGCTACTCACTTGTTTCTGGGGAATTCTAGCTGGGGATATCAGAAGTCCCTAGCCTGGCAACTTCCCGTATTTAGCAATTCCTACACCCCTCCCCATCATTTTGCCTTTCCCAATATTATCATTTATTTAATATTTTCTTTATACAAACTGGCCTTTTCAAACGGACATACATTTAATAAAAAATACAGAAACTTCATACTGCTCTTTTTAGTGGAAACTGGTAGTCCCTGACATAAATAGGATATAACTGGGAAAATGAATATTGTACAAGGAATTGGAAAAAAAGTGTTCTGGAAGACTGGCTAGATGGTGCTACAGTTAGTTAATCCCCTCTTTGTCAGAAAAAAAAGGATGCATTGGTCTCATACTGAGACTTCTTGTCTTTGGTGTGAGAAAAGAAAGAAGACTGCAGAGAGAATTGCTCCTTCATTGTCATTCTGCATAATTTAATACCAAGGCTTCCTGTCACTTAAAATCAACTCTCTGGGAAGCATCTTCATTTTGAAAGCATTGTTCTCATGTAAACCCAAAGGCTGTCTGGTGGACCTAGGTTGGCCTCCCTGGAGCACCAAGCCAGGACAACACTGCCCAGGGAGCCAGCCCTCCCAGGACATGATCTTACCTATCTTTCCCCAAAACTCCTGGCTAGAGATTCTCTTCATTCAGAGCCAGCTAGAACTCTGCACTCACGACACTGTGGGAACTAAAGTCAATGACCACATCTGAAACAGTACATACCTCTCTGTTTTTTTTTTTTTTTTCTCCATACCAGGGATCAAACTGGGGTCCTTGTGCTTGTGCAGCAGGCAGCGAAACCACTGAGCTAAATCCCTAGCAAGTCCATCCCTCTCTGACACTTGCCTCATTCCCCAGATTTTTCTGGCCTATGTTTCCTATGTTTGAAGGGCAAAGACCACAATCCACGTGCGACTAGTGGAGAGCTTAGCTGGGTATGAAAATAACCTCACCCATTTATCTAGCTCTTAGTCCTAGGCACTTATATCACATCTCTTGGTCCTCACAGCAAGGTAGATGTTATGATTATTCCTATTTATAGATAGGAATCCTAAAGCTCAGGGAGGTTCAGTTAGTTATCTAAGACTTAACAGCTATGAAAGTCTAGGATTTAAACCCAGAGCATCTAACTGCTGGACTGTGGCTCAACATTGAAGAGTAAAGAGGGTGAGGTAGTTCTGAGATGGTAACAATGCTGTTACTCCAAACACAACTTGAGTCCCAGGAACTCAGTGGTAGGGGTCATTGTCCCCCTTTGACAAATGTGGAGACTGAGGCTCCTGTGAATTCATTGAGTTGCCCAAGATACATAGAGCATAAATTGAAGAGGCACCTGCCCACCTCCACAAACCAAGTGCTTTCCAGGGGTGAGTGATCCCAAAGGCCATTGCCACTGCCATTCTCAATATGGTGTGTGTGTGTGGGGGGGAATCATGTTCCTAGGGTGAGAAAGATATACTAGGTTTCCTCCTAAAACGTTTTAAGATTAATTTTGGCATTGAAATCCTTGGACCACCTACAGTTGATTTTTTTGTATGGTGTGAGGGAGGGATCCAAGATCATTTCTCACCAATATTTCTCTAATACTAATACTACCTGCAATTAGATAATGAAAAAAAACTTTGTCAGTTCCATTGAGCACAGAGTTGGGAACTCACATGCCTTTGCATCATGCAAAAAGATTTTACTAAGCAAATTCAAATGGCGACATACTTAAGAGAGAAGACTTTTTCCAAACATCCAATATGTAAATACCAATGATTCATATGTTAACTACCAATCTGCTTATCCTTTTGTTTACCTTTTGTTCCAAGACCATTTTGATATTGTTTTCGATTATTTCATGGAAGAGGTTTAGGATCCAGCTAGAGAAAAGAGGAGAGAGGGTCAGGATGCATTTTATTACTAATCAAAGGCTGCCCACAGAGTTGAACTTTCCCACAGCCTGGCTGGACCTTGGTCCTTGGATGGCATGAGCTCTGAGGCTGCTGCCACAGAGACCCTGGCTGGGCTCCCTACTAGCCATGATTGGAGTGTTGTTTCCAGAAAAACCTGCCCCTTTTGCATCACGAGTACCCCTTAAGACAAAGTTCAAACACTGAAGCAGTCTGAGATTTTCCATGGACCACAGATGACATAGAGTCGTCCTGGACTCCTTGCCCTTCTTGTTCCCTGAATTCAATCCAATCTCCTCCCTCACCTCTACTGCCATGCCCTGCCATCATCTATCACCTGCACAACTGCCCGTGCCTGCTCTCTGATCTCCCCACCCCATCCACTCTGCCCTGCTCTAATTGCTTCTAAAGATTCAATCTTTAAAAACACAAATCTGGTTATATCGCTCCCCTTCTTAAAAATCCACTGTGTGTGTGTGTGTGTGTGTGTGTGTTTGTGTGGTGTAAACTATAGAATTTCATGGCACATGTCCACCTAATTAAAACAACACAGTGTTTTGAGGTCTACAGGCTCAGCTAAAGTTCTCTTTTTCCCATAAATAGCCTCAAGTTCAGGGCCCCTAGAGTGTGTGCAGAAAACTTATGTCAGTTAAATAAATGAACAACTGACAGCCCTGGACTCCCCCAGTACAAATTCACCTGCGACAGCAGCATTAAAGATCTCCGCATCTCTGTGTACTGTTAGTTCTCTCACCATGATGGATGGCATTGGTCATCCAATACTTCAATTTTAGGCAAAGAGGCACTTTGATGTTTATTCTGTGTCCTCTTGTTCCTGCCAGTTCCACTCTACCTATCTCACAACTACAGATTCCCTTCCCAAGCTCTTGTGCTCTCTGGTTGCAGGTTGTTTTGGCTAATGGGAGACAGAGGCAGGGAGGAAGGAAATGGGTTGGGGTACATACATTCAAGTTCCTCCTCCTACATCGTTGTGGTGACAATGCCTGGCTCTGTCTCATTTCCTTTTCCAAAGTTCCAGCTCTTTCTAGGCTCTGGTACAACCTTCAGATGCTTCCTACCTTCAGCTCCAGGAGTGGCAATGGCTCCCTGCTGTCCCTGGCCTCTGGATGCACCACTCTGCTGGTTTCCTTATTCCTGTCCACACTTGGGTTAACAGTCCTCTCATTGGATTTTTGTTGATTAAATCTGTTGAATTGCCCTCCATTTCCTACCAGGACCCAGGAGATGCAGTGACAATAAAAACAGTGTAAAAGCAGTCACTTTGAAGAAGTGCCATCATGCATTCAGTGCATCCCCCACAAGCAGGCCACTCTCTTTTCGGGGCTGCCACTAAACACATTTGCCTGGGAATCTATGTGCTTTTTCTTAAAGGGCCAGATAATAAACATTGTGGGCACTGTATGCTATCTGGGCTCTATCGCAACTACTGTACTCAGCTCTGCCACTGTAGTGCTAAAGCAGCCATAGACAAAAATGTAAGCCAATGAGCGTGGCTATGTTTCAATAAAACTTAATTTATAAAACAGGTGGCAGGTGAGAAATGGCTCAAAGGGCATAGTTTGCTGAGCCTTGATCTTGATGAGTGTTAAAATTCTGTTCTTTTGCTCCGTTAGATGAGCAGGACTTGGGGGAGCTGGATGCTGAGGCAGAGCTGATTATCTCCAGTGAATATACATGGGTCACCTACCTTAAGCTTCCAGAAATGTCAATGCTGACGTGGCCAATGGAGTTGCTGCACTGGGTCACCAAGGAAGTGGGGTGTCCAGACTGATCCTTGCCCAAGTTCAGAGAAACTGAGATAGAAATGCCATATACCTTCATATCAAAGGTGCCCTGTAGGGTGCTGTTAGAAGAAAGGCAAAGCAAACTCCTGTATAAGGAGGTTTGTTTTCAAGAAGAGCAGTCAGAAGAACACAGACCTGGGTTCCTACTAACTAACTGTGTCCCTTGTCTGGACCTCTATTTACCGTGAATGAAAACAGCCAGTGTTTGTTGGGTATACTATGTTCCAGGCACAGTGCTAAGTGCCTTATCTTTGTTGCATCTAGAAGTAGGTTATTGTTAACCCCATTTCACATATGATGAGACTAAAGCTTAAGCACAGTTGGATCTGGGTCCATTATATGCTAGACATTTGAGATTCCTGAAATGGGATCCAGGGAGGGAGGGTGTGCCCTGCCCAAAGACCAAGGCTGAGTAACATCTTAACCAAATACTACTCACATGAATGCCTTGTTCACCTTCCAATTCCCACCTATAGACATGTAGTTACTGGACAAAGAAACTCTTATGCCCAGCTCTGGAAGTAGACTCAGATCCCAGTTCTGGAGATTAAAGTGATAGATCTTCAGGCTAGGGAAGGAAGGCAGATTATCAAACCAGAAAAGCCATGTGTGACCCTAAATGGGTCCCAAGAGCCCCCTCTAGCCTCTTACAGTCTCTTTCAATTCTATGGACCTAAACCACAAAGACCATCTGGTCATCTCCTGTGCATCTTTCCAGGTCTGCCCAGGTCCTCCCTCCTCCAGGGAGCTCTTCTAACCCTCTGAGACTAAAGACTTCTCTTCTTTGACACCACTCCCACAGCTAGCTGCTCCTGTCCCTAATGATCTGACCCTCAGTGCTGCAAGGACCCTGTGAGCTGGCTTTGTATGTGTTCTGTCTTCACAGCTGGGGTCTCCAGGGAACAGCTAGCCCTTCACATACTCTCCCTCATTGCTTCAAATAGGAAACAAAGGCTTGGGGATGCGGATGCAGCTCAGTGGCAGAGCATGTGCATAGAATGGGTGAGGCCCTGGATTCTATCCCCAGAACCACTAAAACAAACAAACAACCACAGGGACTCACAATTTAGAGATCACTCACTAGTAATCTGTGGGCTATATGGGGCCTACAGATCTATCTTTCTTTTCTTTTTTTGTGTGTGACAGGGTCTCATTTCAACTCACTATGTAGCCCAGGCTGGCCTTGAACTCACGACAATCCTCCCAAGAGTTGGGATTATAGGCATGTGCCACTATACCTACCCGGGTTTACCTTTCTTTTCCTATGCTGTATTTAAAAAATTTTTAATCTAAACTGAAAGTATTAATGAGGACCAAAATGTATGATATATATTGTGAAATAGGAAGAAAAAGTTCAAAGAGAAAGGGGACCTGGGGGAAGGTGGGAGAAGGGAACGAAAAAAATAAGAAAAGAAGGAAAAAATGGAAACAAAGCTTTTGTGAATAGGGAGGGATGGAGGGATAGAAGGGAGGGAAGGGGAATGGGGAAAAAAACAAGAATCAAGATATATCATGTACAGGTACAAATTCCCAATGATGAGTGTGATCATAATGTATACCTAAAATTTACCAATAAACTTAATGAAAAAAAATAAAATTGGGAAAATTTTACACTAAAAACATGAAAAAATAAACAACTGGATTTTTGGTTTCTCTTAAAAAAATCAAAAGGGAATGCTACTGTCTACTTTCAGCATCAAACAATTGCAGGTAAGTAGCAGATGCCCCTCTTTGGGGCAAGTGCTCCCCAGGTAGGTGCTGCAAATATTCATTTGCTTATTTGTTCTCAGATCTATCCCCTGGTCTTCCCTTGCTTTGAGCCATATTGAGTAGGACTAACCTGTGCAAACTGCATTTCCCAGATCTTTTTGCAACAGGCTTCTGGTGAAGATTGGCCAATGGAAAGCAGTCAAGAGGAGAGTCTTGGATGAGAAGAGAGAGAAACTAGGATATTTCTTTTCCTCTCTCTGCCATCTTTAGCAATGCTTACACATCCACAGTGAGCCAGTTATTGTCTGGAAACCTCTCCAGGGCTCGAGTCTCCCTAACCAACTGATCTAGGGTTGAGGTATGGTTTACCTTTTCATCCTGATAATGCAGGAAACATGCAGCTCCTTTGAGCAATCCCACAAGAGCTAGCTGTAACCCTCTATCTTTAGTCCACTGCCAACTCCATGTTGATCCCTTCCCCCATGAATTTAGGTTCCCATCCTTCCTCGTTGGCTGTCCCTGGAGAAAGGAGACCTTACCTGTAAAAATCATAGCTCACCCATCCAACCCAACTGATCTCAGAACTTCCTGATATATCAGGCAACCTGATGGTGGACAGCTCCTTCTTCAGGGTGGTGACTGCATATTGTATGGCTGGGAGGAGGGAAATAGAAGGTTGTTTGACTTAGTTATTTGGTGGGAGGCAACCGAGGTGGCTATGCTTTGCAATCACATGCACTAGGATAGAAAACAAGATTTGCTACTTGCTGTTAATGCAATTCCTGGCAAGTCTCTTAAATTCCCTGAGCCTCAGCTTCCTCACTAGCAAAATGGTAACAATAATTCTGACCTGAGCCTGAGAAATAAATCAGGACTCAAAAATGTCAGGTAAATGGCAATCTTTGTTTTTATTCATTCAAAAAGATTTGGAGCAAAGGTGGGATACAAGGGACTCTTGGGGAATAACTCACTGCAGTTTGATCAGACTTTTTTCAGCTTTATTACTATTGCCAGGGGTGAAATGTCAGCCTTGCAGATTCCCAGGCCCAGCCTTAGCCAATCTTGGGATCTGTATTTTAACATACATATATCCTAGGAATTTTTATTTGTTTTGAGACAGGGTCTTGCTATATGGTGTGTGGTTCAGACTGGCCTTGAATTCGCTATGTAGCCTAGGCTGGTCTCGAATTTGCAATGATCCTCCTGCCTCAGCCTCCCAAGTGCTGGAATCAGGGCTGGGAATTTAGCTCAGTGGCACCGTGCCTGACTTGCAAGCAAAAGGTCCTGAGTTCGATCCCCGGTTCCAGAATTAAAAAAAAGTCAAGTGCTGGGATCACAGGCATGTGCCACCACATGCACCATCAATTTTAATGAAGGAGAAAGGCTGATCTAGTTCCATCCTTATCCTCCCAAATTCAAAATGGGAAAATTGAAGCCCAGAGGGTGACATCCAAAGTGCCTAAGTCAGGCAGTGGCCTTACCCTAGCCCATCACTCATTGTCTTTGTGACTTCAGAACTCTGGTGGGTAGAAAAGGGCATCAGAAGACACAAACCCATCTCCTTACCATATTTCAGGCTTTTCTTGGTGATTCTAGTCGTGAGCCCAGGATTAGAAGTCCCTTCTCCAAACTCGGAAAGCCCTGTCAGCAGCAGTAGGACCACTACCACACAGTATGGTCTGGCCTTCATTGTTGTCCTCGGCTCTTTCCTAGGCAGAGGTCCGTCAGAGTCTCTTTGTAGGATCCTCAGGTGCCTGTAAAGCCAGGGGACAGATGAGGAACTGAGCCTAGGGGAAGTGGGGTAGGGAAAGTTTGGGACTCTGAGGCAGCCCAGTTGCCTGCAATGTGAGATATGGAGAAGTTTTGCTTGTGAAATCGTTTCAGGTTTATTTTTGGCTTGAGAGCAGCAGAAGCGGTGTCACAACTCCAAATTCTTCCTCTTCCAAGCTTTCCTGCTCAATGCTGCCACAGGAGCCTCCCCACAGTCCCTCTCTCCAGCTGAACGCCACCCATTCATTCTGTGTTATCTACTTACGGAAGTCTAAACACCCAGCCCAGCAAAGAAGGCCACCACGGCCTGGCTGTGTGCCACAAACCTCTCCAACTGGATCTTCCAGTGCTCCTAATCCTGCCTGAGCCCTGCACTCTGGCTCTGCTGGAATCTGCTGGTATCCTCTGTTCTCTACTTAGGCCACTCAGGACACCTCAGGTCAGGTCACAAATACAACAGAGACATTCCATACCTCTCGGCTTTCAAGAACTTTACAATCTCTTGCCTATGTTTTATTTTTTTCAGTCAGTGTTCTTGAGGTATAATTTATATGCAATACAGTACACACATTTTAAGTGTACAGAACCATGAGTCTTGATACATGCATGCACCTGTGTGATCACACTATAGTGGAGGAACAGAACATGTCACCACCCCAAGAAATTCTGTGCTTCTTTCCAGTCACCTCCCTCCTCATGTCTACCCTAGAAACCACTGCTCTGCTTTCTGTTACCATAGATTAATTTTGCCTGTTCTAGAACTTCACATACATGGAATTATGCAATATATGTTCTTTTCTGACTGGCTTCTTTCATGCAGCTTTACATTTTTAAGATTAATCCATGCTGTTTTGTGTATCTATAGTTCTTTTTTAAGGGGGTGGTTTTGTTTGTTTTTGTTTTTTTTTAAAGAGAAATTGCTTATTTTATTTATTTATTTTTTGGTACCAGGGATTGAACTTGGGTCCTTGCGCCTGCAAGGCAGGCAGCGGAACCACTGAGCTAAATCCCTGGCCCCGGGGTGTTGTTTTTTGAGACAGGGTCTCACTATGCAGTTCAGACTGGCCTTGAACTCCCTCTGTAGTCTAGGCTGGCCTTTAACTCACAGTGATCCTCCTGCCTCAGTCTCCTGAATGCTAGGATTACAGGTATGTGCCACCACACCCTACCCTCTGTAGTTCCTGTTTATAGCTGAATAGAAGTCTATATTGCCATGGCCTGCATGGCTGAAGGGTCCACAGAGAGAATGGCCGGTGATGAAGAAAAAGAAAGACAAAAAGATACAAAAGAACAAAGAGATACAAAGCTGGGGCCAGGCGGAGCCTTCTTCCTGATGGGAGAAGAGGTCTGGCTGGCAACTGTAGTGCATTTATTTATAGTATAGAGATAAGTACAGGGGGAGGTAGAAGGGGGTGCCCATAACTGGAACAGGGAGAGTAGCTACAGTCTGCAGAACATCATGCTTGATGGTTTTATGGCAAATGGATGAGGAGGAAGACACGTCCTCTTCTTGGCCAGGCTTTGCTCCGCCACGCCATCTTGTCACCTGTTCTTCTTCCACGGGGCCCTTCCTCATCTTCGGGAGGAGGTGAGTTAGGCCATAGTGATCCATAGCACAGGGCTCCCAGCATCTCCCCCTCTTCTGTTTTGTAGCTGTAGCTTGTGATGATGTCTCAAGACAAGCTCAGTGAGTTGTCCTAGGAAGACTGCAGAGGACTAGTAAACAAATCATCAGCAGCAACAGGAAAATCAGAATTCCCAAGATCACAGCAATGCTATATTTGGCCAGATTGAAAGGACTGAATCCATTCAACGAATCAAGAACCAATTTTGCCATGTCCTCAGGGGTGAGGAAACTAATGTGAGCATGTTGAATGGACAAGATCTATTGATGAAACTTTTGGAAATCTAGGCTGAGATTGGTATGATGAAAGATACCCATTAAATGTGCAGCAACCTTCTTCTAGTCCCATAGTGACTCATTGTATGGAAGAGCCGTGATGCAAATGTGTGGGTATTTAGCATGACAGTGCTAAATGCTAAATCCTTGATGATATTGTAGGGCTTTAACTTGATTACCAACTTAACATCAATATCTTCCTGGGTCTAAAGGGCATAAGAGGTATTTTTTGCTAAACGATTGACAAACTGCATTCTCCACATTTTTGCTAAGGCCACAAATACAACCACAGTGGTGGCAAGCAGAGTAACTAGAGAGATAATTTATAGGATAATAAGTCCTACCATCTGATGGGGGGGTGAATGAGCTGTCTGTGTATTTCTTCCAGTACTTACAGTCCATGGTCATGATACCAAGGGCCAGAAATATTAGTGGGTATCATGACAAAGGATAGCCTATATAATATTAGCACATCTTTATCCTTATTAATGTTAGTAAGGCAGGCAGTAAGATTACAATTTTTGCAACTGAATTAAAAGAGTCTCCTTCTGGAGTAATGTTGACCTGCCCAACTAGGAGCACATAAGGGTTTTGTACTCAAGCACATGCCCAGATCTTATTGGCCCCTGTGTAGCTCCTGTCCTTTAAGCTACGACTAGAGAGAGTGATCACTTGTAAACAGGCAGCCAATTGCCAAAAATCTCTTTGGAAGTATTTTGATGATATATGTAGTACTGATGCCAGAAGGTGGCCGGTAACATTGTACTTTGTATGAGACCAATCCTGGAAAGCTATATTTTGTATGACCATTTCATTTAGTTCATGAATGCAATAGTCTTCCCAAGAAGCATACTTTGAGAGAGGAACATAATGAGTGACATTAGGGCAAGAGGAGAGGGGAGATGAAAGGTTATGAGGATTATCTGTTGAGGTAAGGTTGAAATTATTAATTAGCACCAGCTCATCTGATCCTTGCCTGATGCATTATGGACAATGACTGTCTTTTCAGTTACCCAAAGTGAAAGATAGAGGGAAGATGGGCCAAGACAGAGGGAGGCCCACTGCTTTCCCACTGTAATTATACGTGGTAGATATAGGAGAGATATGAACATCAGAATGGCCCCCCAAGACATCAGACTGATTGGTAAAAATAGGTACCAAAGCAAGAGTTTCCCAAGGAAAGGGATGAGCCAAAGGCAGGTTTGAGTTTGTCCTCTGTAGGAACACAAGCATACTCTGGCCCCTATGTTATTAATTGCATTGAGCCATATTACCTTTTAATTAGGACATCCTTTGACAACATTTGTGTCTAGGACATGTCTGTAGATTTATCTTAGTATCAATGGAGTTTTGATGGAAGATATTTATTTTCCATGAATGGATTTTAAAAATTTTTAAATAAAGGCAACTAGAGAAGGTGACAAAATCTAATTGAGCTTGTAGAGGTTTCTTGTTTATGTGTTTTTAAGGAAAAGTGAGTACACCCAACAGTGGCTTATCTCTATGGGTTATAAGGACCTATATTGTGTTTAACTGGCTTAGTTGTCTATAATAAGCTCTTTTTGAAAGGGCTATCCCAACTGTGGTTAGGGGAGAAGGGGCGCAAGTTTCATCTAACTGCTTTGAGCTGAGAAGGGTCGATGTAAGGAAGACTGCAGTTGGGAACCCTTTTAGCGAGTTAATTTTACAGGCTTTAAATAAAAATCATGTGGTAATTTAGTAACTATAAACCCTATAAGATCAATCTAGTGGATTTTGGTAAAAAAAAAAAGTCTAGCACATTTGTTGTTGATGTTATCTGTATGATCACCTAGAATTTGGCAGCCTACAAGCAAGAATAAACAAAACTTTAAAAGAAATTAGAGCATGTATAGTCAAGGTATAAGCACTAAAATTAAAAGGGTGGTTTTGGGAAAGAGCCATGTTTAGAAACTATTTTTAGGGGACTAAAACAGTGAGTTTAACTTGTTGACCTGTAGATCTTCTGCTAATGGAGATTATCTATAAATCTGATATTTTGTCATAATTTTAATTGTAGCTGTAAAAGGACTAAAGTTAATAATTTCAAAAACAATTTGAGCCAAAATATTTTTAAAACTGTCATTGAGTTTGTATAAATTTTACCTTGGTTCTATCCAATGACCCATAATAGTGGTTAGCTACCAGTATATTTGGAAACTGTCAGAAGGGGTTAGCAATTGGAGCCTCTTTTTAAGTCTACTTGTATTATTATGGTCTTAAGTTTACATATCTTTAGTTATACTTTTATACTGGGTGTTTAAGACCAAGTTTCAGTGAGACCTATATAAATAAAATCAACCTCTTGTTATCTATCAAGGTCAATTAGGTCTCCTCAGACAATATCTTAGAACCATGTATAGAGCCTCTCAACTCCCATCAGTGTCAGCCATCAGGATGGGTCACAGCCTTGCTTGACCATGTTGCCTTCTGTGAAAGCATGGGAGATTTTTCCCTCCAGATGACATTCCTGTGGCAAACTGCAATTATTGCTTTGGTATCCAACAATCTCCTTGCTCAGGAGGTTGAGTGACTTACCAAAAAATATAGAAAAGATTCCTTCATGTCCTGGGTCTTTGTTGACCTTGGAGGGCCAGGGCCAAAATATTGGTTGTCTTCTTAGCCCAGTTACCTTTCTAGAGCTGGTCTCTGAACTTTGGTGGTGTTCTTGAACATCCAGAAGAGAAGATCAATAACATTAGCATTACAATAGGAGTAATGAATTTAACTGTTGTAATTTTACCTGGAGAGCAATTATTTTGGAATCTAAAGTATAGTTAGGGTGTTGTGGCAGAGCAGAGCAGATAGGTGCTATAGCCAAGTGTCACAGCTCAGTGTCACAGCTAAGTGCCACAGCTTAGAGGCATGGCTGAGTGTTACAACTCAGTGTTACAGTCAAATGCCACAGCTTTGAGATGCAGCTGAGCTTTACAGTTCAGTGTGGTGGCTCTGGAACACAGCTCTCATAATTTGAGGACTCGAGAATCTGATGGTCAGTTGAAGAGGTGGAAAAAAACCTTTATTACACCAGTGAGCCCCAGCGGGCTCAGAGGAGTCTGAGCACTACCAGAAATGAGAGCCTCCTTATATAGGGATCTACAGGGTAGGCAAGCATGCTCAATGAAGCGGGGGTGGGGGGCTGGGGGGTGGAGTTACAGAACATTCCTGAAGCAGAGGGGCAGAGTTCAGAACATTCCTGAAACACATGCCTCATGAGCATGCTCACTGAAGCAGGGGGTGGAGTTCAGAACATTCCTGAGGGGGGGGCAGAGCTTAACAACCTTCTTGTGAGGGGGCAGAACTTAACAGAACATT